CAGCTTATATGGAGGGGCAAAATGACTGCTCTGGCCACGTGATAATTGTCAGCGGTTGTCTGATTTTGACGGCTGTCAATCTAATCGTAGTCATACGGATGGTTTACATAACTAAGAGGCTAGTCAAGTTGTGCAAGATCTATTGTGGCTTTGACATCGGCTTAAATGAAGTGTGTGTACGGGTGGGCGTACGCTACGTCATAACCAAATTTTCTTACCCATGGTGCTTCGCGCGCGCGAGAACTCCGCTATTAATCTTTGACTATTAAGCATTACAAAAATGCATGATAGCAAGGATAAAACGGTAGCTTTCACTTTGAAAATCGAAATTTAAATTTGCCCCTCATAATCTCCTTTTGGCCGCCATCTNAGACCATAAACATTCACTGACTTTGCTGTTACAACAAGTGGTAAAAGGGTATTAAAATGTGAGATCACCTCCCTGGGCTTGCACTGAAAGAGAGTATGGGTAGTAGGACACATTGTTTATTTCCCTACCCTCTTTAAGCCAAGAGACCTCATTTTGTAATTCTGATTCACTTCATTTAGCATACACAATTAAGTTAGCTTTTAAACTAAGAAACATGGAAAATACTTGGGGAAAAAATGGTGGTACCAAAAATGTAACTATAGACTGCTCTTCATCAACCTCCACAGCCCAAACAGACACCCTGTTCAAAGCTCTAAAGGATGAAATGGTCACCACCCTAAATCAGCAGCACATACCCATCTAGGTCAAATAAGCCAAGGGTAGTAGGCTTAAGGGACAATAACTTCTTTTGATGGTTGATATAAAATCAATTTTATCTTGTTTGTTTTTGTTGTAAATCAAATTCATAACTTAACAAACAACCAGAAGTTGTACATTTTTGCAAGCACCTTCTGATTCTCTTTATAAACTTTGCAAAACATTCAATTTTCTTTTTCTGTTTCTTGTACTTCAGTCCTTTGAGGGATTTTCTCAGTGCATACTCCTCTCTGATATACTCATTCTTATTAGCAACTGGACAAGCTTCTTGTCTCCTCACTAAACCATTATAATCATTTCAAGTAAAATTCAGAACTACAGGGTAATTTTTGTACAAACAATTTCAAGGAAATACTTGAAACCGAAGTCACTATATAATACAAAACTACTAAATACAGTACTGTTGTTGGAAATTTATTGATTATCACTCGAATGATATTCCAGTGAAGGTTCAGTAAAACCCTCCCAGCCTTCTAATATTAAAAATAGCTTATACTGACAGACCCAAAATATGTGAAGCAAAGTGACTGGAAAATGTACCCCGGCTTTTACTAAATTGGCCCTGTATTCTGTATTTTCGTCCATAAATATTTGTTGTGGCTCTCGGTTTACAAACAAACTTACGAACAGCGAAGTAGAAAATTGGTTTAATGAACATTCCCATATGACTGTTGCAAGACTCATACTAATATAGTGAGCTCGTAGCATATGTTTAGGATAAGGAAGAGAGTTCTTAATACCACTGTAGGTGGAAAAAGATAAGAGATGGGCATGGATACTAGGCTGTTTACTCGAAAATTCACGAAGCTTATAAAAAACTGAACTTCCCGAGATGCCGAATCACGCCAAGTGTAGTCATGCATGAACTGTTCATACATCACGCCTCCTGATGTCCCAAAATTCCATTAAAAATGTTCTCGAAAACCTTTTCTTGATGTTTGGACGCGGGAAAACTCAAAACCGAGCAAAAACTCATCGTCCCTCCATTTCTGCACTAGCAGCTAAATACAGGAATTGCACCGACCTGTGATTGGAAGATAAAAATAGTATGTCAGTGGTGATGACGTGACAATTCGTTACGTTAGCCGTTTCAAGAGTAACGGTTTTTACACGGAAAAGACAGTCCACAGGAAAATACAATATAATATTAAATTTTTCTCAAAGACAAACAGTGCAATATTCTTCTGAAGTTGGCTGACTCGCTAAGAGTCAATGTCTTATCGAAGTTGAAGTTCATTTGTCGCAAATCGGATAACTTCACTGAGTGATTCTGAGATGAAACCTTTTGTCTGCATCCACATTGACCTTAGATTTTACCACTTACATATTGAAGAAAAGCCATAAACAGAGCTTCAATGTCCACGTACACCCGACTGAACCTCGGTGCGATTCCTGCAGATACCGCTGTTCATACTAAATGCAGGAATTGCACCGGACGCGTTCTCGTCCCCAGAGTCACTCTAAGTTGTAACAAAAGAGCACGTGACCAAGAAAGACG